ACTGGAGAGATGAAGACCATAATGAAGGACATAGTTAATGAATCTAGAGTAGGTACAGATAAAAAATACAGGAGCTTAGGAAAATGATGGAAACCATGAATGTCCAATATAAGAAAGAACTGGACACCATAAAACAGATTCAAACAGATTCCAAGAGATTAAAAATTCTATTGAAAGTATATGCAGCAGAATCAATTAATATGAAGATAAAATATCAGATCTAGAAGACAGATTTTCAGTTAGCAATCATCAAGTTAAAGACCTCTTAAAAATAGCAAGTAACCACAAAAACTCAATCCAACAGCTGATAGATGATGCAAAGTAGAATAACATAAGTTGATTGGAATCAATGAAAAAGTAGAAGATAGCACAAAGGACATAAAACTTTCTTCACAGAAGCAATGGCAGAAAATTTTCCAAGCATGGAAAAAGAACATGATATACAGCTAAGTGAGGCATATAGAACTCCAATTAGCCATGATCAGAAAAAAAACCTACACCAGGCGTATAATAGGCAAGGTTCCAGAAATTCAACACAAGAAAAGAATATTAAAAGCAGTTAGAGAAAAAGAAACAAATCACCTGTAAAGGAAAAACCATCACAATCAGAGCAGACTTCTCAACACAAACCCTTAAGTCAAAGAGAGCTTGGAGTGAAGTATTTCAAGCCCTGAAAGAAAACAACCTCCAACACAGATTGTTGTACTCTGAAAAATTATCTTTCAAAATTGATGGAGAAATAAGATACTTCCATGATAAAGAACACTTGAAGAAATTCATGATCACCAAACCCGCACTCCAAAAAGTTCTGAAGGATATTCTAGAAAAAGACGGTGAAGACAATTAATTCCATGAGTCCCAACAGAATGACTCCTTCAGACAAGGCAAGCAATTAAACAGAGGGGAAAGAAAGAGAACCAACAAAAGGAAAATAATATGGCAAGGATAAGTCAATAGATATCAGTTATAATATCAATGTAAATGGTATCAAAACACCAATCAAAAGAGATGGGCAGAATGGATCAAGAAACAAGAACCAACAATATGTTGCATACAAGAAAACACATTTAACCCAAAAGAAGTTCACAGACTGAAGTTAAAGGATGGAAAACAATACTCTATGTGACAGAAACCTGGAAAAAAGCAGGGGTATCTATTCTATTTGCAAACAAAGAGGATTTCAAGCCAAGACTGATCAGAAGAGACTAAGAAGGTCACTAGATACTTGTTAAGGGAACAATCCAAGAGGAAGAGATAACAATCATATATGCACCAAAAAACCAGTGCACTCAGCTATATAAACAAACATTATTGTATATGAAAAATCAGATAAGCACTAATACAAGTGTACGTGGGACCTCAATACCCCACTGTCACAAATAGACAGACCAACTAGACAAAAAATCAACGAAGAAATATCAGAGCCAAACTAAACCTTTAAACAAATGGACTTAGTAGATATCTACAGTGTTCCACCCCACAACAACAGAATACACATTCTTCCAACAGCATATGGGACTTTCTCCAAAATAGACCACATACTAGTTCATATAACATGCTTAAGTAAATGCAAAGGAATTGAAATTATCCCATGGATATTATCCAATCATAGCACAATGACATTGTAAATCAATGCCAAAAGAAACCACAAAAGCCTCACAAACACATGGAAATTAAATAACACCCTCTTGAATAACCAATGGGTCACAGATGAAATTAAAGAAGAAATTAGACAGGGCTAAGGAGTTAGCTCAGTGGTTCTGGTGCCTGCCTTGCAAGCACAAGGACCTGAGTTAGATCCCCAGTACCAAAAATAAAAACACACAAAAAAAAGAAGAAGAAGAAATTACACAGTTTTTACAATTAAATGATAATGCCAATACAATATACCAGAACTTATGGGATGCAATGAAAGCAGTCCTATGAGGGAAATTTATAGTGGTAAATTCCCACATCAGAAAAACAGAGCAAGCTCAAATAAATAACCTAATGTTGAGCATCAAGGTTCTAAAAAAGAAGAGCAAGTTAAACCCAAAGCATGTATGAGAGAGAAAATTATAAATATCAGGGCAGAAATTAATGCAATTGAGACTAATAAATCAATACAAAGAATGAATCAATGGAGGTGGCTCTTTGAAAGATTAAATAAAATAGACAAAACCTTAGCCAACCTTATAAAAAAAAGGAAAGAAAAGACTCAGATCAATTAGGAATGCAATTAGGAATGAAAAGGGGAAAATCACAACAGATTCTGCAGAAATCCAGAAGAGCAATACCTCCTCTGAAAACCTGTACTCCAATAAGATAGAAAATGCAGAAGAAGAAAGATAGCCTCTTTAATAAATGGTACTGAAAAAACTGATTTTTCACATGCCCCAAGGTAAACCTACACCTATATCTCCCATCATGCACTAAACTAAAATCAAAAGGGATCAAAGGAAAAAAAAAGGGATCAAAGACCTAAATATTAAAACAGAAACACTTAATCTGCTAGAAGACAGACTAGGCAAAACTCTTCAAGACATAGGGGTAGGCAAAGACTTTATGAAGAAAAGCCCAATCACACAGGAAATACTACCAAAAAATCACCAAGTGGAATCCCATCAAATTAAAAAGCTTTTGCAAAGCAGAAGAAACCACCAACAGAATGAAGAAACAACCCACAGAATGGGAAAACATTTTTGCCAGCTATTCCTCAGACAAAGGACTAACATCTAGAATACATAAAGAACTAAAAAAACCAAAAAAACCAGACCCTCCAAATTTAAAGACCCAATAAAAAAATGGGCATCTAAAATGAATAGACACTTCTCAGATGAAGAAGTACAAACAGCAAATAAATGTATGAAAAAAATGTTCAACTTCACTGGTAGTTTGTGAAATGCAAATTAAAACAACACTGAGATTCCATGTCACTTCAGAAAGAATGGCTATCATCAAGAAGGTAATAACAAATGGTGGCGAGGCTGTGGTAAAAAAGGAATCCTTCTCCATTGTTGGTGGGAGTATAAATTGGTACAACAATTATGAAAATCAGTATGGAAATTTCTCAAAAAACTAAAGCTAGAGTTTCCATTTGACCCAGGTATTTCTGTTCTAGGTATCTTCCCAAAAGAGCTAAAAACATATAGCACAGCGATACATGCATTCCCATGTTTACAGTCATACAATTTGTAATACCTAAATCTTGGAAACAGCCCAGATGCCCATCAACGGGTGAATGGATAAAGAAAATATGGTTTTAATATACAACGGAGTACTACACTGCCATAAAGAAGGATAAACTTGAGACACTTTTAGGTAAATGACGAGAACGTGATTTTAAGTGAAATAAATTGGACATACATGTTTAAATATCACATTGTTTATCTTGTATGATTAACTCACAGGGTAACATCAAAATGGAGAAGAGATATTGGAAAGTAGGAAGAAAATATTCAAATGTGCAGGGGAAAGGGGAGGGGGAAGGGAAGGGAAGGAAGGGAAAAGGAAAAAAAGAGAATAGAAGGAAAAAATAGAAACAAAACTTTTGTAAATGTAGAAGGGTTGAAAGGAGGGAAAGAATTTGAAAAAAAAGATGTATGTTGTAAGGTACAAATTTCCTATGATGAATGTGATCAAAGTACCAACAAAATCAATTTTAAAATATTCATTCAGAAACTCAATTAACTTCTTTATTCTAGATTCTATGTATAAAAGATCAACACATAACTTCTTTTTTAATGATAGGAAGAAAAACAAAGTGCACAAAATTGCAAACCTCTATTCATTCCTCTAAATATCATTCCATTATGTTTGGAGTTGGTGTTAAATTGACCAACAGAGAGCAGTTTTTCTCCAGGCATTTTATCAGTAAAATCTTGATCCCTCTATCACCTAATATGTATTACAAATTCTGTTTAAACAAGTAATGTTCATGAGATTGTAAAGATACATATGGACATTTTAGATTTTATAGAATATATTCCTGATTGAAGCCAAGTAGGCACGTATCTAAGAATCTAGATTGCACATATCAGTTCCTTTGGGAATTGCTTTTTCTGAATTACAGTCAGGACCGGTACCATTTGCCTACACTTAAGGGGCTATAAGAAACTTCCCTGAGAAAGTCATTGATTCATTTATTACCTGTCCATCACAAAAGATGTTCTGTTATCACACAAGTTCCCTTTAATGACTACCTCTAGTCATTGGTTGCACTCTGAAGCTGAAAGTTTTGTACTTCTTCTTAGCACCAATTTGTATTTATATTATAAACATTGTCAATAGTGTGTTTGGTCATATTTTTTTCACATTCACTATCAGGGAAGCTTAGAATCAAACTTGCATATATCCTACAACAAATATTTAGGTCATTGGGGCTAAATTATAACTTCATTCACTATTCTCTTTTCTTCGTCCCTGAATTTTTTTCTATTCTTGTGAGCCTTCTTGCATCCTTTTTGGAACATAGGGTTATAAATAAATAAATAAATAAATAAATATTTATGACAGTATAATTTGTTTCTATATTTAAGTCCATTTTGTATCTTGGCACACAAGTATTTTCCTAAACCTCATCCTTAGAAATACTTTTTGATATAAACTCTTCTTATCTTTAAGAAAAAGCATAATAAAAGCAATAGGCTTTTAATACTTAGCGGCTCTTTTACATAGGAAGCCACCAACAAAGACAGAAAACAAAGACAATTTTAAATTCCCATTGTCTTAGTAATGGGAAGGTATGATCTACAGGCTGGTGGCAGTCTGTAATAAGAAAGGTATAAAAATTGAGAATAACATCTAGAAAAGTTTATAGGAATTTGAGAAAGCACCTAATAAGTCAGATTTGAATCTAATAATTAAAAATGTGGATTGTATTTTGTATGCCCCTTCATAATTCATTTTAATTGCATATTCATTCACAACATATTGGAAATTTAAAAATCACCATCAACAACAACCTAAAAACTAGTCTTTTACAACAAATAGTTCAAGAAGCAATACTTTAAGAGTCTTACCTTCCCATGGTCACAATGTAGGAAAAGTTCTACAAAAATCTGTCTCTGCATGTCAGTTTTTATGATCTCCCAGAATTCATCGGCATAGTGGCAAAGGTGCTTAAGGAGTTCCTCAAAAATTTCACTTTTAAGGTCTGCAACCCATGAAGAGATGTACTGCAAGGGGAAAAAAAGGATAAATAATGACTTAAAAACATGCTCCTTTTTTTTTTTCTCAGTCTTGGGGATTAAACCCAGCAGTTTACAAGCCCAGTTTCACCTCTTCCACCCCACTCCTTTTTTTTTGAGACAGGATCTCACTAAGTTCCCCATCCTGATCTCAAACTTTCAATCCTTCTGGCTCAGTCTCCTGAGTAACTGGAATTTCAAGCATGCACAACCATGCTTGGTTTAAAATCATACTCTTTATTTGCATTTTCCCAAGGATTCAGTCAATGTACACAAAGTATTATGACTGATAAATGTTTCCATTATCATTTGCTTATCACTTAAAGAATTTTCATGTGAATGTCATTCCACAGGCTGTGCAGTGGAGAAAGGTGACTAGTGCAGTCCCCAGCACCATACACCAATGGGACTAGATAGATATTTTTTGGAGCAATTTTCCCTACAGGTTATATTAGCATTATATAGGGCAGATTTTTCTCACAGTATAAAATAGCAGTGGTCCTAAAATGGTGCCTGCAGATTAAAAATTCTCATAATGAAGTTTTTAAAAAAATTGGTACATGGCATATAAGCACATATGTGTTCCATGAATGACTACATTTAATTATTGGAGTGTAAAGAATGGGGACTCTGAGTGGGTTTTGGTTTCTTATATTTCAATAAGGTATCCTTTGTCTATTTTGGGATTGAAATTGGGACCTTGCGCTTGGGAGGCAGGAGGCAGAGCTAAATCCCTGGCCCTATTTTTTTTTTTTTTAACTGTAGTTGACAAGGGCTCTCATGGTGTGACTATGCTGGGACAAAAGGCTGGGACAACAAAATAAACTCCAGGGTAAAGGAAACTATTACCCTTTATAGTATGGCATGTTATTTCCCTACCCTTGTGTTCTTTTTAAAGATCATAAGACCCTCATAAAACCAGAAAAGCAGAATGTTTACATGAAGTGAGAAATTGTTACTAAGGAAAAAAATCTAAATAAGCCCTCTCACTTCATTTGCTTTTAGTCAACTTAAAAATCACTAATTTTGGAGGTCACATAGCTGGGCAATACATTATTAGTTTCCTGCTAGTTTTGCTGTAGATAACATCTCTGATGTGGAGGTTATGATAATATGCCTAGGTTACTTCCTAGGGACTTGGGGTCCACATTTGTTGAAAACAGTGACTCTTCATTTTAGCCTGCAGATGTCTGATGGTGGACTAAAATGGGATAATTGACTGTAGCAAAAGTTTAAATTCCCAGTTTAGGTTTCCTGAACACCCTGCCCCACCTTGTGTTTTGATTTATGTTACTTGCTAATATGTACAACCTGACTACATTTCCCATAGTATACCAACTCCTAGTGTGGAGGCCTTCCCTTCCTTTGATGCAAAAAAATTCACACTTAAAGTGCACAGGGCAAAGAGTATAATATTTACCTAGGCACTTGATCTTGGGCTTTATACCCTTCCCCATGACTAATCATTATGGCACACCAAATTTACAGAGGTCTCAGATAGGAGAAACACCAATAGCATTCCAGAAGATTTCCTTCTAGTGTGTCTGCTATCTAACTGGGAAAAATGGAACTTAAACAACCTAAAGTAAAAGGAATTTATCTTCTTTTACAATATTGCTTGGCCCCAATATGTTGTTGACAACTAAGAAAAACGGTCTTTCAATGGCTCCTTTAATTTCAACACCATTTTATGCCTAGATCTCTATTGCAAGAAACAAGAAAAAGGAGAAGTCCCTTATGTATGAGTCTTTATAATTCTTTATCAAGATACACAGTCAGCCCTAGACATTATGAAAAAATTACAAAAATTGAAACAGGTAGACCAAGCCCTTTTGGCCAGTGTGGTTACTGAGGCTTTCAAAATATTCAACAATAGAGACAGGGCATGAGAGCCCAACCAGGATAAACAATTGGCTAAAAAGACCCAGTTTTTGGCTTTCTTCGTCTAGCCTTACTGAGGTGAACCTAGGAGAAAACCCTTCCAGAAGTTTAAGACTTGCTGGAGACAGCACCTGAAGATTATTCAGTGTGCCTTCTTTTCCAAGGAGAGTCACTGGCATGCCAGTGACAACTAAGAGGAAACCTAAGCCAAAAGTCCCTCTTGGTTCCACTGGAAGATGATTCTTGTCATGCAGTGATGTGGCCCAAATTCCCACAAGGCTTCATCTTCAACATGGCAGAATATGCAAAAAGCTCAAGCCTTGAAATCCTTTAGCACTGTCATGGGAACAACCACAATGCTGAGATGTTTTGCACAGGATGATAGTGCCAAATATACAAGAATTCAACAGCCTCTAGTACAAGTTTACCATGATGACCTGGTGGGTCAAGTCTATCACTAGAAGAAACATCCTTTGAAATTGTTCCCCAGGACAAGGGAAATTACCAGACCTTACCCCACACCAACAATCAATAAAAACCTGCTGTTCTTTTTGTTTTGAGAGCAACACCTTGGTCATTCTCTCAGCCAACTACTGACTCCCTTCAGGTGGAGCCCAAATTCAGCTGAAGCCCCTTGCTACCCTTCCAATAAAGCTTTGCCTTAGCAGGAGTGTGTGTGTTTACAACATTTATCCCCCATCTTGTTTCTACCATCCTTGGGATTAAAAAAAATCCTATCATCTAGTATCATAGGGGCTAAAAACATCTATGCTCTTGGGCCATTTCTCTTGATCCCTGTTGAATAGCAATCCATCAGAAGTGAGATCAATAGGTATACATAAATATATATTTTTCCCAGTACCTGGGATCAAACTCAGGACCTTTTGCTTGCAAGGCAGGTGTGGTGCCACTGAACTAAATCCCTGGCTGGTAGGTATATTTTTTAATTATAAGTTTTATGTGGAATTTATGCCCTCTGCCACACCCACCACTAATGTATAAGTGGCTATTTCCCCTGAGCCTCACCATCAGTGTGTACTGCTGTCTGAATTTTTGTCAGTTTGCTAGATCAGGAACGTTACATTCTTGATCTATTACTTCTAATTGGCAGAAATAGAAAGTATACTGGGTAGAAAGAAATGATCAAGCACTAGATGAGTTTCTGAGTAGATGCCTCATGAAGTATAGCTTTGTTTACAATGATTTTCTTCCCTGCTCCAAGCACAGAATTAGCCAAATTAATAGATTATGACTCTACTTCCGTAGTTATAAATGATTGGACCAAGAGAGGATACATAAACTAAGCAAGGCCATCCAGATTCTGTCCACTGTGAACTGAGGATTAGGATTCAGGAATGGCCTTTTGATCTCTGATTGAGGCTGGACTTGTAAATATGTAGGGGAGGAGGCAAAACTTTATCTTTACCCTTTTAGAGTATTCAGGGGGACCTGAGAATTAAATTGACATAAGATAGACTAATAGGAAAAAAAGCATAAAAGTCTAATGTAAGTTTTATGTGACTTGGGGCCTTTATAAGAAAATGAAGACCCAAAGAAATGGCAAAATCTACATGCTTTTTATGTTAGTTTGAACAAAGAAGTAATTTTGGAAAAGTAACTAAATTACATGGGGAGGCTAAAAGGAAGATAATTATTGTAACAAAGTCTATTTGTACAGAATTCTCTCAGCTAAGACTCCTCATTGAAGACTTTCCTTTTTCCTGATACAGGGAAGTTATCTTCCACGTGGGAGTTTTTATCTCTTATTTTCAGGAAGAAAAGGGAAATTAGAATGTCTTTCTTTTATCTGCTATTTTTAAAGTGCTTTTGGCTTAGAGTAACCCAAATGCCAAAGGAGAGGCATAGTCTGCCACTTTTTGTTTTCTGATAGTCTCACTATGTTGTCAGGTTGGCCTTGAACTCTTAATCCTGTAGCCTCAGCCTCTCAAGTAGCTGGGATTCCAGGTGTGTCCCACTATACCCAGTTTTGCCACCACCCTTCATTTGTAAATTTAAGAGTTACTTGGTGGTCAGATTGTTCCCTGTGAAGTGAAGATGCTGAGAATGTCTGGAGAGAGAAATGGGGGGAGGGGAGAGAATAAAAGGAAGGAGAGGAGAGAGGGGGAGAGGAAGGGAGGAAAGGGGAGAGAGAGGGAAGAGAGAAAGAAGAGAAGCTGGGCGTGGTGGCTCATGCCTGTAATCCCACACTTGGGAGACTGAGGCAGGAGGATTACTGTAAGTTTGAGCTGAACTACATAGTGAAACTCTGTCTCAAAAAAAGTAGAGAGAAAAAAGTTTTGATGGTTCCCAATTCTCTGTTCTACTATCTTCCTAAAGCCCTTGGATCATGAACATTTCATTTTCAGCTATATTAGCTCAGATTGATTTCTGGTTTTTATAATTAATATGCTTTGCTTTAAAAAGTTGTTTTAGTAATTTGCCACTAAAGAATAGTAATTTGCTTTAAATGGAGAATGTTTTGGGCATATTTCAATGACACATAATTTTTAGAGTTATTAGTTCATTTCCTCATTAATATCATCTAGGCAAATTTAGAATGTATTATATAAGAGACACATTAGACTTGTGTCCATGCAGATGAGTCAGTTTAATTGCTTTAGAGATCAAAAGAGAAATATTTACAGCACAGCCAAAGAATTTTTCTAAATACTTGGTTCCCTTAGCTGCCTAAAGCATACAATTGCCATTATTCATGACAGTTCAAAGAGCACAATTAAATTCTCTATTCCTAGGGAAAGAGTAGTGTAAGTGGTTAAGAACTCACATTCTGGACCCGATCTAGTTTCAAATCCAATTTCCCACATTTTTTCACTTGTGAAATACGTATCATAGTAGTAGCTACCTCAGTAGGTTATGGTAAGGATCCAGTACACGTACAGAGCCTGGATATTTTGTGTAATAAGTTCTTCATAACCCTAGAAATTGGCCAAGTGTGAGAGACCACCCTATTATTATGCCCCAACCAGGCTATAAACATTGCAGGCTGTAAAGAGTTAACCATACAGTTGGCTTGTTTTAAAAAGTGAGTCTGACTGAAGCCTGTGTGACTCATAGGGGCATTGTGGTGGTGCACAGATTAGCAATTA